ACACCCCAAGTCCTGTGGCTAGAATGGCATGGAACCCTCTATTGGCAGGGGGTGCCCACTCTCTGTGTGTGGGAAACAAGGGAAATATATTTCAATATAATCTGAATCCCACCACCAAGTTTGGACCTGCACTTCTAGAAACAGATGGAGCATTACCTCCGGGCAATCCTGGACTTCAGGTGGCTGCTGCTGCATTTCCAGTCCTGGGAGGGACACAGATGTCTCCTGGTTGCCTGTAAGAAAACTCAAAATCCAGCTTCTGAGCCTCAGGCTCAGAGAGAAAGGGCCCAACTAGGTCAAAAGTGAGGCTGCATCACCTCTGCTGGTACTGGGTTGCCCTTTCTGTGCCTGGCACCTCCACCCCTCTTGTTGGGCCTGCCTTCCCAGGACTCCAGTGTCAGCCCATCTGAGACTGTGGCACACCAATATTGTAGCTCTGCGATGGATGCTGGTATGATTGTAGCAACAGCCATCCTGGAGCAGCCATGTGGCTGACCAGGCATAACAGGGCAGGGTCTGTCCTGCTAAAAGTCTACTTCTGGAGTTGGAGTTTAGGACACAGCTACAGCTCACCCTGACTGTCCAAACCCCACTCAGAGGATGAGGTTGACTGAGGTCAGTGCTGTTGACACCCTGTTTCACTTGGGAGAGCTGCCTGTATCGGCAGGGAAGACGGCAAAGCTGAGCCCATGAAATGACATAGCCAAAGGATTGCCTCTCCCACTTCTCTTCCCTCCACTGCTACCAAATTCACGAGACTCACCTGAGGGTGCTGGGCCTCTGGGCATGATGTCACCCTGGCTCAGAGCCAAGGACTGTGAATTTTCTAGAAAATAGGACCCTCTGGTGTTGGGGTCCTCACTGGTGAATTGTCCATGATGCACTAATTGGCAATGTGGCCTTGGCCTGTGTGGTGGAAACTAAAAGGAAAATTTCTCAGAGATGGTGTGTGTGTGTGTGTGTGTGTGTGTGTGTGCATATGTGCCCACTCTCACAGGGATGCGTGAGTTTGTAGACTCTGAGGCAAGGTAGGGCATAAGGAAGGGAATTCAGAGGTTAATGTCAT